TCTGTTATCCGGCTGCCACCAAAATGCTCCGGCCCCGCCCTCACCGTAATGGGAATTTGTTTTTGTTTTTTTCAACGTTAATGGTTGTCGATCTGTACACACACACACACACAACACACACACACACACACACACACACACACACACACACACACACACCTTTCCTCCCATACGGTATTGTCTAACAGTTCTTCCTTATCATCAGGAGGAGGAGGAGGAGGAGGCGTAGAATTCTTCCTAGGCAACTGGATGATAAGAGCACAGTTCTTCCTACGCACCAGCAAGAGGAGAACACTTTCCTAGACACCAGGAGGAGATCACCGCAGTCTCCAATGTACTGTACGCCAGGAGGACACATTTTTTCCTATACACCAGAAGGATGACGGGCCCTTGATCATTAGGTCTCCTCCCACGCCGCCGTCAGGAGACAGACCCACACACTTGAAGGTCCTCACGTCTCCACCTGCACAAGACTAAGGCACTACTGATCCAACTGGCCCTTAACCACAGGAGGAGGAGGAGGATGTGGGGGCTGGGGTGTGGTGGGGCTGTGTGGGGGGGTGGTGAGGGATGTGGGGAGGTGAGAGGGTGATGGATAATAATAATAAAAATAATCTGACCACAGTCCCTCATATCGTTGGACAACAATAAAAAGAAAAACACAGACACTTGCATTTGTCATCACACACACACACACACACACACACACACACACACACACACACACACACACACACACACACACACACACACACACACACACACACACACACACACACACACACACACACACATAAACAACCTTCCCAGAACCATTTCCTCCTCATTCTCATCTTCCTCCCTCTCATCTCCCTGTTCCTCCCTCCTACCCTCCCTCCCTCACTCCCACACACCGTATCTAACCAGAGTGGTGTAACAGTATCCCCACCTCGGCCAGCACCATCGTCTTAGGTTCTATCTCTGCCCATCTTGGGATACCTACTGAGACACGACCTTCTCACTCAAACCATCCGAGACGCCAATGTTTTGATTCCCTTACTGAGAATTACCTGCCGCTCTGAGTCTCGGACTGTTTGCGTAATACGGAAGTCCTGGGGGAGGCGAGTTGTTGTGGTAATAATAATAATAATAATAATAATAATAATAATAATAATAATAATAATAATTTCATTATATAATATGTTATATAGAGAGAGAGAGAGAGAGAGAGCCATCTTGGTGGCTGCTAAGTAAGATGAGGGAGAGTTTGATTCGTTCACAGCTCAGTTGGGCGAAAACTTCTGTAGAAAGTTCTGAGAAATGAGGAGATAGAGACGCGGAGAGCGGATAATGGAGGAGAGAGGATCGGTATGCACCTCGGACTGGTCATCTCAGAAAGCCGCTGTGTGTGTGTGTGTGTGTGTTTGTGTGTGTGTGTGTTGTGTGTGTTTTGCTTCTGCCCCAGACCCCAGCCAGGCAGTGAGTGAGTGAATCAGCAGGTGAGTGAGTGAGTGAGTGAGCAGATCGAGTGAGTGAGTAAGTAGTATATAACAGGCAGGACAGAGACTTGTTTGGTCGGTGGTGTGGAGCTGAGGCCATGAGAGTCAGGTTACTCCAACACCGCTACTGACGACTCACTCACTCTGCCTGGGGGTCTAACAGAGGAGAGGCAACACCACACACACACACACACACACACACACACACACACACACACACACACACACACACACACATCAGTACAGTTAATATGTGCTATACCTGTACACACACATACGACCCACAATATTCACTCAGACAGGGTGGTCATGGGTCGAGCGATAACAGCAGCAGCCAGGCGTGAGGTGGCACCTAGCTCGAGTGAAGTCATCTGTGTTGACCATATGATAACAACAACAACAACAACGACAACAAAAACAATAATAATAATAATAATAATAACAACAACAATAATAAGCACAGGCTAAATGCGGCGTGGTGACGGAACAACGCAGTGCAGTAGGGCGTGTGGGCGTGTAGCCTGCGCACTAGAGGCACCACGCCGTCTGGTCCACGCCTCTTGAAGTTTCAGGGGTGAAGGGGAGGTGGGGGGAAGGGAGAGTAAGGAGGAGGGGGGAGAGGGGAACAGGGGGAGGGGGAGGAGGAGAGGGAGGGGGGGTGAGGAGGGGGGTGAGGGAGGGAAGGAGAGGGAGGGTGCTCCTTCAGTCTCTAATATATGGAGTAAGTTATCACCCTTCTCGTGTGGTGGTGGTGATGATAGTGTGTAGTGACGTCATCATCATCATCATCATCATCACAAACTTCCTATCTGTCTGTCTGTCTTTCATTACCACTAACTTCCAAACTGTCTGTCTACTGTCTGTCTGCCACACTGTCTTGTCACACAGGAAAGAACAGTGTTAGCGGAGGTAATTAAACAGACACAGACAGACAGACAGACAGACGGAAAAGGGGTAATTCATCGCTACAAGTAGACAAACACTTGAACAGAGTCGAGCGTGTGTGTGTGTGTGTGTGTGTGTGTGTGTGTGTGTGTGTGTGTGTGTGTGTGTGTGTGTGTGTGTGTGTGTGTGTGTGTGTGTGTGTGATAACAAGTGTACAGAAAGGTCTCTCTCTCTCTCTCCATTCGTTTGCCTGCTTCTATCTCCTTTATTCTTACGTTTCTTTTCTGTTTCCATTCCTTTATCTCTCTCCTCCCCGTCTCTTTCCCCTCTCTCTCTTCCCATCCAACCTCTCTCTCTCTCTCTCTCCGTCTAGGTCCACAGAATTGTTCCAGGTCAACACAGAACAAACAACAGCCTCACGACATCTTTTCCACCACTTTAATATTATCGATTTTTTTTCCTTTCGCGGTGTTTTAATTTTCACGGCGTCCCACTATAAGCTAGTTTCTAATTTGGCGGTGTTTAAATATTCACAAATTCACGATGTCTCAATTTGGCGGTGTACCATGGTCGCAGTTTTCCTATTTCGCGAAGTTCCAAGTCTCTCAGTATCTCTCAGCGTCTCTCAGTGTCTCAACCAGGTAACCTTCTCCCCGGTGTTTTCTCTCAGCGTGTGTCTCTCAGTGTAGAGATAGAGAGAGAGATAGAGGAGAACAACATGGAAACACTATTGTCACGCATCACTGAATCTACCTCAGAGGAATAACAATTTATAGCAACAGAACCAAACACAAGTCATGCAGTACACACACACACACACACACACACACACACACACACACACACACACACACACACACCTACACTACACCAACATACATAATACATCCTTTTACAAAGACACCATCTGTATACACTATCATTATACACCATACAACCATTCACCGCCACACCGCCCCTATACACCATACACCGCCCCTATACACCATACACCGCCCCTATACACTGCCCCTATACACCATACACCGCCCCTATACACCATACACCGCCCCTATTGAGCCATTATAAACATTCTCTCGTCATATGAAACTCACCTGTAATCTGATCCACAGGTAAGCTTAATTAACCTAATATTGTCTTGAACACCTGAGAGACAGACAAACAGACAGACAGACAGACAGATAAACAGAGAGACAGATAGAAAGATTAATACCTCCTCTTCCTAATTAGTCGACCAATAAGAATTCCCCAAGGTTCCATTATCTAAGATTTCCACCAATGAGAATTCACACTGGCTCTGTTATTTGGTAATCGACCAATAAAAATGAAGATTGGCTTTGTTATGATATTTTCACTGGTGCTCATTAACGAGGCCAGATTATATGTCAAGTTTCAGTTTAGCCGAAGATGGGTCTCTTAGGGGCAAGGACCTGAGGAGGAAGACGAAGAGGAAGAGGAGGAAGAGGAGGAAGAGGAGGAAGAGGAAGAGGAGGAGGAGGAGAAGAGGGAGGAAGAGGAGGAGGAGGAGGAGGAGGAGGAGGAGGACTTATCGGCACTCGACCTGTCCCGCCCTTGATCCAAACATGATTGAACACGCCGAGACAGAGTTTCAAAGAAGTGACATGTGTACCAATTATAGCGAAGACATGATAACACTGCGATGCATCAAGGCTGGTGCTCTCCTCCACCCTCTCTCTCTCTCTCTCTCCTCTCTCTCTCTCTCTCTCTCTCTCTCTCTCTCTCTCTCCTCTCTCTCCTCTCTCTCAAGGTAACTGTATGACTGTGGTAGGTGAATGTGTAAAGCAGGATACTGGAATAGAAGGAATTATTTTGCAAGATTGGAATGACCTGGAATATGAAATTTACATCAGGAATGGGAATGGGATGGATGTGAAAATTTATAGCAGGAATGGGAATGGGTTGAAATGATGTCAGTTTCTTTAATATTTTTTTACGAGATTTAATTAAATACATGATAGTTATTAACACACACACACACACACACACACACACACACACATCAACAACAACTATTACCACTCACCACAACAACTATTACCACTCACCACAACAACTATTACCACTCACCACCACACACCTTCACCTGGTCTATGTAACTCAATCAGTGGACGCACAACAGACGTTCATTTACACTCCTGTTCGAAACTGTATCGAACCCAAATGAGATATTGCTCTTGTGTCTATCGGTACATCGGGCAGTTCGGAGCCTCATTCTGGCAGTTTGGAGACTTATTTTGGCAGTTCAGAGTCTCGTTCCAGCAGTTCAGACTCATTGCAGCTGTTCATAGACTCGTTCTAACAGTTTGGAAGCTTATTTTGGCAGTTCAGAGTCTCGTTCCAACAGTTCAGAGTCTCGTTCCAGCAGTTCAGTTTCGTTCCAACAGTTCAGAGTCTCGTTCCAGCAGTTCAGTTTCGTTCCAACAGTTCAGAGTCTCGTTCCAACAGTTCAGAGTCTCGTTCCAGCAGTTCAGAGTCTCGTTCCAGCAGTTCAGAGTCTCGTTCCAGCAGTTCAGAGTCTCGTTCCAGCAGTTTTAGAATCTTGACACTTCCTTTATCTTGACGAAGGCGCCGACGAAGAACCAATAGAATACCACCTTCCCCTCCCTCTATCTAGTATACGAGCCTCTACACAGGTGAGTTAACAAGGTGTACTAGTTAATTAAGCGACTCACCTGCTATTTCCTTGGAGGATTGAGCTCTGGTCGTCAGCATCTGTGTGTAGGAAAGGTAAATATATTAGGGAATTATTTATTTGTATTCTATTTTAAGTAATTCTGTATGATCACTTCATAAAAATGTAACTTAATGTTTTATAAATGTAATTGATACAAGATATAGTATAAACATCTATCTATCTATAGTCCCACTCTCTAGCTATATACAGTACATCTCTCTCTCTCTCTCTCTCTCTCTCTCTCTATCTCTCTCTCTCTCTCTCTCTCTCTCTCTCTCTCTACACAGCCAGGCAGTGCTTCAGGCAGCCAGAGTCTTGCACAACTTAGGGAGGGGGGAGGTGAGGAGGAGTACTTGGTGTCCGCCCTACCCACTTCAAGTCCTTGTGAGCCCTTGAGTCTACCATCTGGTGCTCTCTCTCTCTCTCTCTCTCTCTCTCTCTCTCTCTCACACACACACACACACACCTTCAGCTGTCAGGGTCATTAAGCACCGGTCACCAGGTCTTTCTCATATAACAAACAAAATTACCGAATACTACATAAACTGGTGACGAATGACGCTACACTTGGTATAATCATCGCCAATAGACACCCTAACCATCCCCAAATAACACTGTTTCCCAATAAGTGAGATTATCATGAGAAAACGGTATGTGAAATGCACGTAGCTGAACTGAATTCCTTGGACCAACACAAACACTATATATTTAACTGATTTTTAACGCATTTACTCTTCTCATAGTTATAACTCACACAGTGTTCTATCAGTTATAACAACACGGTAATACAACTGTTTACAACCACATTATACATTTTTTACGCTCATCATTACACAAACTATAATGAAGCGGCATTTTTCGTATTAAAGTCCCGACGGTTACATTATATAAACCACAACCTTCCATCTAATTAATGTTTCAGAAATTATAGTGAACTTTATATAAACGTAATGATGCACACCTGTTAATTAACCTCACACCTGGTAATTAAAGCCTACCTGCGTGTGTTATGGGAGAGTCTTGTCGCGTAAAGACAGATAAGTATAGATGAGTTAGTGTTGGCGGGAAGGTGTGTTTTCTCTCTCACTACATCCAGAGAAAACGGAAGGAAAGATGGGAGATGCTGAGGTAATTTTCAGATTCATGAGGTATTATTTTTTTTTCCCACGACTAAATCTTTTGCCGGTGATTTACGGTTATCTCTCTCTCTCTCTCTCTCTCTCTCTCTCTCTCATTACAATCAAACATTTCGAAAAGTGGAACGAGTAAGCCCTTTGCGTCCTGGAGGGTCCAATGATTGTCTTGAAAGGGTTAAACCATCTTTCTTAAAGGGTTAAACAATCTTCCTCAAAGGGCTAAACTATAGTCCCCAAAGGGTTAAACTATCCCCAAAGGGTTAAATCATCATCAAAGGGTTAACTCATTATCTTCAACGGGTTAACTCATCGTTCTCAAAGGGTTAAACAATACCAGTTTAATACAACGACTGCTACACTCACTGAATAATGTCACTCATAGATTTAGATGAAAGGTCAGAGGTCATCCAGGATTTATAACTATTTTCCTAAGCGAAAAAATCTGTCACCGGTACAACACAACAACGTCAGGGTAACAGTTTATATCATGAACTTGTGTAAATCATGTTCGCGGATGATGACAGTCTGGTGAACTAAATCGGCACAAGTAGCAGACATTATCCTTTCATTTTCACCAACATTATCCTTTCATCTTCACCAACATTCTCCCTCATCTTCACCACCATTCTCCCTCATCTTCACTACCATTCTCCCTCATCTTCACCACCATTCTCCCTCATCTTCACTACCATTCTCCCTCATCTTCACCACCATTCTCCCTCATCTTCACTACCATTCTCCCTCATCTTCACCACCATTCTCCCTCATCTTCACCACCATTCTCCCTCATCTTCACCACCATTCTCCCTCATCTTCACCACCATTCTTCCTCATCTTCACCACCATTCTCCCTCATCTTCACCACCATTCTCCCTCACCACTGCTACCCTACTACACATACAGTATATCATTGTACAAACTTAATTCAGGGTTACTCACCGGCGTCTCTCCAGAAGAGTCCTCAGAGGGCGTGGTGGCGGGGGTGTGTGCCGCGTGGGGCTGGGCGGGGCGCGTCTCTAGGGTGGGGGCCGAGCAAGCCTTCCCCGGCGACGACTGGTGGTTGGGGGACACTAGCGACAGGTGACGAGGCCGCGTGGGTTTTGACGGAGCTTTAGGGGGCTTGTCCTCCGTCAGCGTGGGTAACGTAGGTGCTGAGGGCGTGAAGGGAGTACGGGAGGAGTGATGCAGCGGGAGGGGCGGGAGGGCGGCCTCGCTATACACGCCCCTGAGCACCCCTGCCACAGGTATTATGGCGGAGTCCAGGCGAGGCTCACTGTGTGTGTGCCTCACCATCCGCTCCACTGATCCTCCACGACTACCTTCCAGCGTCTCATTAGACTCACGGTAACTGTCATGACTGTCCTCGTCGATGCTGTGGGCGAGCGTGGGCGGCTCAGGGTCCGTCTGAGTGGTCTGGTCTTCACGTCGGACCCACTGTTCATGGTGTCGTGGTCTGGGGCGGCGTGGACGGTAGTGAGAGCTGTGTTCACTCTCCCTCCCGCTGCGGTTGTGCGGTATGTACCGTCGGATGCGACGCTCGAAGCTGTTCTCCAGGCCAGTGTCTTCCGAGGAGAGGTTGGAGCCCGAGAGGTCGAGGGTGACGTGAGGGTGAGGGCTGACTGAGGGCCGCGTCGACACTGTGCCGATTCCAGATTCTCCATTAAGGTCGAGTGTGTCCAGCGACTCTGACAGCGACAGGGAGGAGTCGTCGCGGGGCATGGACGCTGGCGTGGGCGGCGGTGAGGAGGAGGAGAGGGACCCGTCACGAGACCAGTCGTCATCATCGTCGACGTAGTCCTCGCCATAGTCGTCCTCGGTGGCGCTCAGAGCCAGGGACGAGGCGCAAGGCTCCATGGAGGCCAAGTCGTCGCAGCCATACTCACTGAGCCAGGTATCTGAGGACGCCCTGGAAGCCGGCGGGGGCGTGGGCGCGGGCGTGGTCTGTGTGAAGGCGTCGAAGACCACCGTAGAGGAAAACGATAGGTCGTGGGCGGCGGTGGAAACCGGGGTGGAAGCTGGGGTGGAGAGGGGCGACGGGGGGAAGCATGGGGGAGGAGGCAGGTCCTGGGGCGGCTGGTCCATACTGCCACGACGGATCCGAGACTCTACAGCACGGAGGAAGTCATCCAGAGCCTCCGGGCGGTGCTGCAACAACACCACACATGAGTACAGAAGCTGACGGGTCAACTAAACTTAACTTAATCAAACTAATATCGTAAGAGTCCATATTTTCCCTTCACTAGTATTCGTACTCAATGACTTACATAAACTATGACTGCTACAACTTAACACTACTCCGTGAACCAACAGTACATGTACTTAAGAGTTCTTAGTTACGTAAAGTACTAAAATAAGTAAACTATGTGTAATTATGAAGATCACTCTACCTGTCAATTTAAACCTATTAATTGGTTATCTACGCCATAAGATGAAATGTTCTGCTAAACCAAACCTAACCTAACCACACTTAACTAAACTTACCCCAACCACACCTAACTGAGCTTAACCCAACCACACCTAACTTAACCACACCAAACCTAACCACACCAAACCTAACCACACCTATAGTAAGGGGTCACAGGAGGGTGTTGGTCTACATACCGACTGGGTGGAGGAGTTGACGAGCCTCGTGTTTTGGTTATGCAGGGTGGTACGGGTCTCGTCCAGGGAGAAGCTGCGGTACCTTGGGGGCGGCTTCCTTAGGTCGACGTCACAGCGGTCTCTGGCCTCCTCCCGCAGTTGCCAGGAGAGAGGAGGCACTGCCGAGCCCTCCACCACACTACTACTAGAGAGGTCAGTCACGCTGCAGTCTTTCGTGTCGCTGCGGTTAGACGTCTCTCTCTTTGGCCTGAGGTCACCCTTGGCTTCGTCTTGGAGGGTGATGGTGGCGAGGCGAGGACACAAAGTATCTGAAGGTGCGTCTGTTCTCTCCTTCTTCGCCTCCTCCCTGGTCGTCTCCTCTGCCTCCGACGCATCACACACAGTACTGATATCACTACTTTCATACGGGGAGCTGAAAGATGGATTAGTTTTGTGTTTGTCTTTCTTGCGGTTCTCAGGGATGGAGACGGAGAAGATTATATCCCTGCGGCCCTGAGCCCCAACAGGTGTCAGATGCAGGAGACCGGTGATGGGCTCCGGCCAGGGGGCGTGTCCTGACGCCTTACTGTACGACGCCTGGCCCTCACCACCCGACTCCCTGGGGCCCTCCATCCTTCCTTCGGTCTCCGTCATGATCACGTCTCCGTCATCCCAATCCTTGAAGACCAGGTCATCCGGCGTGTGACATGCGATGGTAGTGGGGTCGAAGAATATCTCCGGGGTGAGGTACTGCTGAGTGACGGGTGACGACGGCCAGGAGTCACACTCAGAGTGGGATCGGTGGACACTCAGAAGGGACAGTGAGGAGAGGGACGAGTTGAGAGAGCGGGAGGACGTGGGGCTGATGGAGGTGCGGGAGAGAGGCCGCACTACACTCCCTGTGATGGGCTTCTCCTCCAGCTCCACCTCCAGCTCGTCAGCGGGTGGCAGCGTCTCCCAGGACGACGTGTTGAAGGTCGGGGCGGGAGCTGACAAGAGAGACAGGCTGCCGTACACCCTGGGGGTCGGCAGTGTGTGGCGGCGAGCGTCCAGCTGTCCAGGTGTTATCACGCTCAGTAAGGACGGCTCACTCTTACGCCCTGACCCACCACACTCTCTGCCACACGCCAGTCTCTCTCCTGGCAGTTCTAGATCCAACATGTTAACTTCCTCAAAGTTATTGTCATCTGTCACTTCAGGAGCAGTGACACACACTGACACTCTTTCCCTATACTCAGAGGCGTCCGCTTCTCTTGTTGCCTCCCCAGGCACCACCACTGTCGTCTCCTCCGGGTTGTCTGTAGTGTTAATTGTCGACTTTTCATCTGTGGTGGAAGACAACAACCTGGCACGACAGTGTGGACACGCCTCGGGGTCACACGGGCGGTCAGTAAGACTACACGCGCCCTCCTGGTCCGCCCACTCCCACGACTCACTCACGCCCTTCCTCAGATCCGACGGCGTGAAGGCTGAAGAACCGTTAGTGTTAAGGAAGGTCTCTGAGGCCTTGTGCAGCTTGGCGGTGTCGGTAAAGTTGGTGGCGTCAGTGTGGGCGGCACCAGCAAGGTGGGCGGGCTGGGTGTGGTCCTTCCACCCGTTGGCCAGCCCCCGACCGCCGCCGTTCACCTGGCGCCGTTCTACTATACTTGGCCGGAACTGTTCATTGTGTTTCTCCGCGTACCCCGTCTTCCTTATCTTGCCGTAGTGGCCCTCACACAGGCTGTGAGCGGCGGCATCCCGGGCGCTGCGGGGCGTGGCGGGGACATCAACAGGTTCAGACTGAGCGATGGGGTAGAGGGTGGCCTGACTGGTGCTGTTGCTCGCGTCCGCGGGCGTGGGCGGCTCAGCGTGGGCGCCATCAATGACTGAGAGGTGGTGAAGCGCCCAGGGGCTGAGGCCGGCGCCCTCGTCCAGTGAGTGTGAGCGAGAGAAGCGAGGATTGACCCGAAGTAGTTGACAGCTGACGTCGGTGTCGTCGGGATGGGCGGCGGAGGCGCGGTAGGTGATGGCACCGGCCCCGCAGAGACTGACGCTACGGTGGCCTCCTGAGCGTGGCAACGTGTAGGTCTTGAAGGCCCCCTGCCGCTCCCCCGTCAAGGTGTCGTCGCGGCCTGCACTGTGTGTGGCGCCCATGTTGTTGCTGACAGGGCCGGGGAGAGTCACCCGCCTCACTGGCCGCCTCTCCCTGCCACCATCCTCGCCACGCTGGCCGACACTGTCACGCTCTCCAGTACGGCGACTCCTCCTGGCGACGTCTACTCCCTGGCCGCTGTCACCACTCAAGAATCTCTGGAAGTTAAAGTCTACCGGGGCCCCGTTATTGGTGTGTCGTGGAGGGGGGTGGCCGTGAAGGGTACGGATCTCTTCCTCCACCAGGGAATGAAAGTCCTTCAGCAAGCCCTTGGACCACTGCTGCAGATGCGGGTCCGTCCGGGGCTGCCAGGGGGGCGGGGTAGAGCCACCATTGCGGACTTGAGCAGTGGTGAGGGCGGGGGCTGAGACGCGGCGGGTCTTCCTGAAGAAGGGGACACGACGTCTGGGGTGTGAGGACGGGGTGGACCCCTGACGCCTCACAGAGCACGTGGGCGTCTCACCAACACCACTGTAAACTTTGCGGATTTTAGACGGCGATGCTTGTCCGTCTAGCAGTGGTGGGCGTGCGGGCGTGCGTGGGCGTGGAGGGTGGTTCTCCCGGCTGGCTGGTCTGGCTTCAGGCTCCACGAACACCGCGCTGATCTCCTCCTGAAACAAGAAGAACACGAGTTATGGACAGACTTATAAAAGTAACTGTATCAAAATGTTATACAGACAGACACACACATAGAGGCACATCCTGACACACAAGACAACAAGGACTGAGCTGACACATTATACTGGTGGCGGGTGAGGACTCCCACACTGACCACCCTCAGCTGGCAGGACCACACACGTGTCTCTCAACCCACACACACAACACTCACACCTCACTGAAGAAGGGATTAAGATCAAGTAATGACTGACCACCCACACCACCCCCTGACACCACGACGGAGCTAAACTTACGTCTAATAAAGCGACTCTTGAGTGTAACATTAGACCAAAACAAACCCCCAAAAAAAAAACAATATTAAGAAAACAATTTACAGGTGAAGACACAACACAAGAAGACAAATACAGACAGACACGAGTCGATCCTTTGTCGACCAGGAGGAGATGTATCAAGTTAATCATGTGTAGTGTATGTATCATGTAACAAGGTCAGTGGTCCACTAGATGTTGTCGCTGTTAGACTAAGGTAGAACACAAGTACCCCTGACAGTGTGTCCCTCGTGCATACATTAACAACACTGAAGGCAAAGTGTGCGGACAGACATATGGTCGAGGACTACAACACTAAGTCTTTGATTGTGAGAAAATAGAAAACCTCTGGGGGTAGTTATGAACATCCCCTGTGTGCAATGGTATTCGGATTGAGTCGTGTGTGTGTGGTGTGTGTGTGTGTGTGTGTGTGTGTGTGTGTGTGTGTGTGTGTGTGTGTGTGTGTGTGTGTGTGTGTGTGTGGTGTGTGTAGCTGGGTGATATGAGGTGAAGCAGGCGTGTGTGTGTGTGTGTGTGTGTGTGTGTGTGTGTGTGTGTGTGTGTGTGTGTGTGTGTGTGTGTGTGTGTGTGTGTGTGTGTGGTGTGTGTGAGCTGGGTGATGTGGGGTGGGTGAAGCAGGGGTCGTGTGTGTGTGTGTGGGTGTGTGAGCAGGGTGATATGAGGTGGGTGAAGCAGGGGTCGTGTGTGTGCAGTGTGTGTGTGTGTGTGTGTGTGGCTGGGTGATATGGGGTGGGTGAAGCAGGGTCGTGTGTGTGTGTGTGTGTGTGTGTGTGTGTGTGTGTGTGTGTGTGCTGGGTGATATGAGGGGGTGAAGCAGGGGTCGTGTGTGTGTGTGTGTGTGTGTGTGTGTGTGTGTGTGTGTGTGTGTGTGTGTGTGTGTGTGTGTGTGTGCTGGGTGATAGGGGTGGGTGAAGCAGGGGTCGTGTGTGTGTGTGTGGTGTGTGTGTGTGTGTGAGCTGGGTGATATGGGTGGGTGAAGCAGGGATCGTGTGTGTGTGTGTGGGTGTGTGTGTAGGCTGGGTGATATGAGGTGGGTGAAGCAGGGGTCGTGTGTGTGTGTGTGTGTGGGTAGAAAAGGCCTTGTTTACACACACATAAAACCTTCAAGGCAGGTCCGATTCCTGTGTGTGTGTGTGTGTGTGTGTGTGTGTGTGTGTGTGTGTGTGTGTGTGTGTGTGTGTGTGTGTGTGTGTGTGTGTGTGTGTGTGTGTAAAACCAAAACACGTACAAAAATACACATGTGTTAGGAATCAATAAGTCCACGTAATTTTAAGTACAATCCACGGACACTAATACGGTTTATAGTGTTTACATCCGGTGAGAGAAGGCGACGGTGTGGATGGTGGAAGATGGATGAGGAAAATAGTGGATGAAGGAGACGGAAGAAGAAGAAACGAAAAAATTTGAAGAAAAATGAAGAAGTTAAAAGAAAATGAGGAACAATAACAACAACAGAACAAGAAAAAAGAACAAAAAGAACAAATCGACAAGACAACATCGGCAGGGGGGAGGGAGGGAGGGAGGGGGATCGAAGCAGGAGACGTGGTGGAGGCTGGAGGCAGTCACCCCCTTGTCATCTACGATACCCCAAGCCGGAGGTTGAGAGAGAGAGAGAGCCTTGTTATATGTGACACCCCTAGTACACATTGTATATCAGGGGGCGGGGTGAGTTATGACCCTTAGTTTATATCAGGGATAACTGGGTGTACTGGCTCACACACCTGCCTGCCCCTGAGTGTCCCTAACTTACACATTCCTGAGGAGGAGGGATTAAGGGGGAGGGGAGGTGAGGAGTGAGGGGGTTGGGGGGGAGTAAGGTGAGGGGGGAGCAGATTTATGAGTACTGATCTTCATATGGGAAAGAGTTACATAATCCTTGATGTTTACAGTCATCTTGAGGTGTACATGTGTGTGTGTGTGTGTGTGTGTGTGTGTGTACTGTGACTCAGTTCATTAAAAGGGGCAGTAGATAAAACAGAAGTGAGTGAAGCAAGTCGACCTCATTTCAAGGAGGAGGTAGACGACCCTGACTTGTTTATTAATAATCCTCAAGGTCACTCCACAAATACCCGATTAAAGGAAGAAGGAGGAGGAGTAGGAGGAGGAGGAGGTAGGAAGACCTTATCATATCCTCTTCCGCCTCCGTCATCTTCCTGGTTTTTCTTATCTCTCTCTCTCTCTCCTCCTCCCGACATCGTTCACCTGTTAATCATCACCTCTGTGTTGTCCCCACCAGGTGTGACTTAACCAGGTATATGAGCCACGCCTCTGGGTCCGTCATGAACCAGCCAGCCAGTCAGTCAGTCAGCCACTCAGCCAACCAGTCAGTCCTCCAACACCACATAGCAGCCAATCAGCACCACACAGTCAGCCAGCACCACAGTCAGCCAATCAGCACCACACAGTCCAGCCAATCAGCATCACACAGTCAGCCAGCCAGCATCACACAGTCAGCCAGTCAGCACCACACAGCCAGCCAGTCAGCATCACACAGTCAGCCAGTCAACATCACACAGCTATTTCCTGATAGTTAAGATCCGCCCCTTTACCCTTCGTAACGCGAGCAGCTTCATTACACACACACAATAATAATAGCCACACACACACACACACACACACACACACACAATAATAATAATAATAACACACACGAGAATACATGAAAAATATTTCCTTTCTTAACGATACACCGAAAGGAACTTTTAATAATAATAATAATAAAAATAATAATAATAATAAAAATAATAATAATAATAATAATAATAATAATAATAATAATAATAATGATGATGATGATGATGATGATGATGATGATGATGATGATGATGATGATGATGATGATGATGATGATGATACTACTAATAATAATAACAAGATCATGTTATAGAGAAAACTAACTTCCTCCCTGTCCTTCGTCTCTCCCTTCTTCTTCTTCCCTCTCTCCCCTTCTCTTTCTTCCCTCTTTCTCCTTCTTCATGTGTCTCCTCCTTCTCCTCCTCCTTCCCACTTTCCCTCCTATCTTCGTCTTTCTCTCCCTCATCCCCTCCCTATGCCCTCCTTTCCTTGTCTACCGTGCAGGGCGGGGCGGGGCAGGGCGGGGAGGGGCGGGGCAGGGCGAGGCGGGGCGGGGGTGAGACAGAGCCTTGTATGAGGACCTTATCGGCTAAATATTTCCCCGGGATAAAGAGACCATTTTGTTAACCAGTCAAAGGGTGGTTGATGATGCCGCCCTGCAGTTGTTATTTAGCCTCTCTGCCGCCCACTATGCCGCCCACTACTGTATTACCCGCCCGCCCGCCCACTGGCTTACCACCACTATCACCTCCCTCCCATCACAACAATAAAAAAAACACACACCTGTGTGTGTGTGTGTGTGTGTGTGTGTGTATGTGTGTGTGTGTGTGTGTGTGTGTGTGTATGTGAATGTGTGTGTGTGTGTGTGTGTGTGCTACAGAAAGGGGTTGAGGTGATAATGGCCAATTAGCAACTGCTGTAATCCTGGGCTAACAGGGTAGCAACACACACACGACAGTGCTTCATTAGTGTCAGCCGCCCTCCAACAGTTGCCGCCGCTGGACCAATCAGAGCTCTGTACCAAACTTCAATGCCGCCGCTGGACCAATCAGAGCTCTTGTACCAAACTTCAATGCCGCCGCTGGACCAATCAGAGCTCTTGTACCAAACTTCAATGCCGCCGCTGGACCAATCAGAGCTCTTGTACCAAACTTCAATGCCGCCGCTGGACCAATCAGAGCTCTTGTACGTTTCCGTCACTCGGGATTTAAGCTACAACAATTAAACCGTATCCAAGATGGCGCCTGCATTACACCGAGACTCTACCTGAACTATACACATTCACTTTACCATTTACAACAACAACAACAACAACAACAACAACAACAACAACAACAGTAGGAATAAAAACAATAAAATTACTTAACAAAAATAACAACAAAATTAACAAAAGAAAGAAGACAAAAAAACTGAACATCAGTTAATTAAATCCCCTACACCCCCAATCTCCCCAGTAGCCCCTCCCCACACCCCCACCCCCTCCTCCCCACACACCCTCCTCCTCCCCTGCCTCCCTCCTCCCCACACCCCACCTTACACCCCCCACCCCCCACACCCCCACCCCCTGTCCCCACACCCCACCCCTGTCCCCCTCCCCCAACCCCCCAACCCCACACCCACCCCCCTCCCCACAACCCCACCCTCCCCACCCCACCCTCCCCACACCCCCCTCCTCCCCTACACCCCTCCCCCTCCACCCCCCTCCTCCCCACACTTCACCCCCTACAATTTCACCCCCCCACCTCCTCAAGGCGAGAAACAAACACGTCAAAACAAGTCCATAAAAATCCTTCCATAGACCAGACACCACCAGATGAAAAGCGAAATTAAATCCGGGTTATATATCACACTTTATTTACGACTGAACTATATATAATAAAATCTATAACCCAAAGAGTATATAGGAGATTATATATTATTTTATTATATACATTTTGGTGAATATTTTATTAATTTATGTTTTATTTTGATGTTACTTTTTCGTGATTATGTGACAGACAGACAGACAGACAGACAGACAGACAGACAGACAGACAGACAGACAGACAGACAGACAGACAGAAAGACAGACAGACAGACAGACAGACAGA